TCTTACACGCGCCTGTGACTAGGCCGATCTGTTGAGCGTTGAGTCCGCGAGATGCTAGACCTTCTGAGGTCGATAGGATTGCTCGATCGTTTGTTTGGTCGAGCGATGGGTTGGTCGACTTGTTTGACTGGTCGACAAGTTATTTTGCTCGATCTTCTCCTCGCCTGGCTCGATTCCTTCATGGTATGACCCTCTAAACCGGTTCGGCGGACCGGTTTATCCTTCTGTATATAATATCCCATATCAGGGCCGAGTTATTGTTCACATGTATAACCGAATAATCATCACACGTTTATTACCGCAATAACACAAGTAAATTTAATGAGTACTCTCCTTCCTTTGGGCCGGTTAATACTCACTCAAATTACATGTACCCATATCCTTTTATATTTCAAAAACAAATTAATTTCTACAAAAGAGGTCGCTTTGGCGACATGTTGCTTCAATTAATCTATCTCAAAATATATAAAACTTTATACCAATATTCGAATCTAAAATTTAAAATTCTAAGACCAACAAATAGATTTAAGGGCTTAATCTTTAAGGCTGAAGAATTGAAACAATTAATTGAACCATTAAACTAAATCAATTGTTCTCTCCAGCAAATAAATCATGTTCACAGAATCCATACTCATACATATCCAATCTCATTATATTTGATTCAAGAGAACACAACATGAAAATTACTTGTACTGCGCCCTACAAATTCTAAAATCAGCAATGTATCAATCTTTATCAAAAACAAACACATTAATAACAATGGAATCCCTTTTGACCAACCAGCAAAAGAAACAATTGGACTTATATCCAAATTTCTCCCAAACATGAGATTTCGATTTTAATATACTGAATCTACTCACAGAGAAAACAAATCCCAATAGCACAGCATGAATTCATATTGCGAAATAAATACTGAACATCGCATATGATCGAACAGAAATAAAACCAAACTTAATCCATATACAAAAATTCGCACAGCGAGTCATATGAATCAAAAAAAATAGATGAAACTTGATTCCCAAAAAAAAATCAACATGAAGAGGCTCTGATACCACTTGTTAGAATTAACTTTAGGCAAAATATATCGCTTTAATCCATGAGCTTTCATATTGAATAACTGAGAATCGAAACTGAATAGTGGGAGCATACCTGAATCTATAGGTGATTGATTTGGGGATTTGGCCTTCTAAGTCTATACGATCGTGTACCTTTTCAGAGAACCCTTTAGCTTTTCTCCGTAACCTCTATGTCGATGGGATGCAGAAGAGATAATTTGTCGATGGCGTATGACCTAGGGACCACAACCCTTTTATGTACATTAAGTTGCATTCGGCATCTCTATTTTAGCTCATCATTAAAATAGAGACTCATTAGTTTCTACACATTAAAGGCCCACACTCTATTGATACTTTAAAGCCCAATAACTTTAAAACTTAATGCGGAATTTACATCCCTTACTAACTGTTATGATATATATTACACTTATACACCAATTATAATCTTATTTATAAAATTAGAAAATAAGCCTAAAATATTACACTTATACCTAAGATTCTAAATGCATCCCATGTAACTGTTATTAAGCAAATTAAATGCAAATTGGCATAATTAATTGAAAGCAAGTGCATCATTACCAAAAATAGCCGAAATTACACCCTCTCTTTATGCTATCAACCAAGCATATTACCTTCCGTCATCATCATGAATTATCATTAAAACACCATAGGCAGAAACGAAACAAAGAAAATATACATATATATATTTATAAAAAGGTGATGAACGGTATATGGGAAGGACACATTAGAAAACTAAAAAAGTTGCGATCTGTTGCAAGCAACAATCTAAGTTGGCGCTCAACCACCTCAAACACACACAACCTTTAACTACGGGTATAAAGGTTGTTGTTGATGGTGTATATGTATGATTTATTTTTCTAGTAAAATTGTTTACAAATCATAAAAGTAAAATAAACAACATGCAAACTCAACATATACTAAAATATATTAAAAATTGATTTAAAACAAGAATAAACTGATTTTTTTTGTGTGCATATGTATGGTTTATATACATAGTCCAAACAAGTAATTTCGGTATATGTTGCAGTTTTTTATTCAGTATATTTTCGATATATGTTGCAGTTTTTTCGGTATATCTCGACAGTGAAAATGTGGTTAGGGTTTATATTCAGTATATTTTCGGTATATGTTGCAGTTTTTTCCACCTCGCGAAAAATTATCCCGTAATTAATTCTCGCGAAAAATTATCCCGTAATTAATTCACCAGTGTAAGATTTTTTTCCTTTCCTTTTTTATAGTAACCAAAATGGAAATTAAGCATTAGATAAGTGAAGGTTAGCATTAAATATTAATTAAATCTGATCATTAATTCACTTAAATGTTATCTTTTAGGTAAATACATAATTAATTATAGGTATATGGTATAATTGTAATATTTTCATAAACACATAGGATAGATGAAAATTTTCCAAACTTAATTGATCACTTTTATTTGGGCTTCTGTATTTGACAACTACAATACAATAATTATTTCACATATTAGCCCAATGTTGGATTAAGGATCCAACAAATCTCTCCTTGTGTAGTTATATGCACGTTAATTGGTCCAGGAGCTTATTTCTCCAAAAAAATATTGAGGTACATAATCAAAGCTAACATACAGTTACGAAATCATCGGATGGCTCGACTTATGTTATTCTACATTTGATATGTTGAGAAACTCTAATATGCATTTGATATGTTTGGTATTCTACATGGTCAAAACCTAACCCAAATTTCAACTCAAGTACCTCAATTCCCATGTGGTAAGCAATAAGAACATTAGAATTTAGAACATGACAAAACTAAAACAGCATCAAAATAGTGTACCCAATATATTTCGAATGCAAAAATTTATTTAATCAAGCTTTTTTGTTTTCAAGAATCTTCATCACTGTATATATATAATGGTAATACAGCATACGCAGGGTATAAAATAGGCTGTCAAACCACATGTAAAAGCTACAGCTAAATTGTGGAGACCAAACCCAAATCGCTAAAAATACAGTTCGTGTGGGCTCATCGCTTGACGAGTGATAATGTTTAACCAATCTGCAGCAGAACCCAGCCCTATACTTGCTGGGTTCGGCAAAAGAATTCCTCCATGAATGCATTCCACTTCGAAACCCCATGAACGTGTGGCAATATCCAGTCCAGCAACTCTCCCACCCGTGAATGAACTTTCACAACAGATCCTTGAATTTGTCTCAGCAGTTGCACAATTTTTAACGGCGAAAAATTAAAGCAGGAAAAGACATCGGTTAGTTTGAGTTTCTGTTTTCACAAATACAGCCTGGGAGAGGATTCGCGTAGAAACTCTCTTCCAGCTTTGGGAACTCGCCCGGCTCCCTATTGTACGGACCCCCGATTCGGTCCCTGTGAAGCTTTTTGACTTTTGAGCTGAATTTCTTCCAAGTTATCTTTCCCTCGTCATAATCGTCCACCAGTTTTACAAAATTCATCCTGGACATTGGGAAAAAAAAAAGGCCCGAGATCCCCTTATATAAATCAGAAGAACATAATTAATTGTAAAAAAGAAAACTGAGCTCATCTTTTCTATGCGGCAAATTACACCCCTGAAAGGATTTATATAATCTTCAAATTTAACTGAACTTTTATAACAACTGAGTCTAAGGTTCAAGGTAGTTTTCTGAAATTTACCCCAAACTATATAGGCCTAACTCCATTGTAGTTGACCCTACACGTGCTTTCCCTGATTTCCTTCATTTTACAATGTTACCTTCAATTAATACGATTTATCATTATTATTATTAATATTACACCATACAGTTTAAAAACATTGGAGGAAACTAGAAACTAAAGACCATTTCTTGAATGCCAAACCAAGGGAAATGTATGAACGAAACAAATAACTCTCACAAAATCAAAGCTGCAATTTACCTGTCGGGATTAATAGTTTTCATGAAACCCTCAAAACGCCTGTGGCCCTGCACTGCCTTAGCCATATTCCCATCATACGTGTACACAAAAACATCACTCTCAAGGGCAACAGCGTAGTCGAGGCCCGCCAGCATGTTCTGGTGGTTCCTGAAAGGGCTCAGCTCCTCCTCTGAAGAGAGGGACGAGTGCGTGAAAATATTTGGATAACTCTCAGTAAGATAATTCATACTCCCGTTGCCATATGCCTCTCCGGCAACCAAGTAAATCCTGGTGTTGGATGGGAAGCCGAGCCCTCTTAGCAAAAGGGCCGTCTCACGAGGGGTTAAAGGGCAGCCCCCAAGCTTTCGTTTTTCGGTGCCATCAATTTCTTTTTCTTTCCAGTGACTGACCTCTAAACGCATTCGGCGGAGCTCATCGTCTTCTTCGGCAGTTAAATTGTGGCTGCAGCCTGTGAAGGCAAGCATGTCCTTCTCGTACCTGTAGTACAAGAGGAACGAGTCTTGAGGCCCAAAAATTATTTTTCATAAAGTGTTGTACCGGAGTAAAAGAATATATAGATATATCCAAACAACAAATTGGGGGAGGGAAAAAACTGTGGTTACTCTTTTTGACCAATATAAGAAAGTGTGTTTGTTCATTTAGAGAATATCTCATCCAAGTTGGCAAGTTATGAGTAGCATGAAATTCGCTTCCAGTTTTAACAAACTGCACAAGTTCACGGTACATTTGTTCACCCTGTTTAATAGTTTAAGAAAGAAAGATTGTGGTGATTGCTGATTTATCAGGAAAAAGAAAAGGCATTGTCAAATGCAAGTAAACCTAAGAGCTGCAGTTAATGGATTTTTACAGAAAAGTGCACAAAAACATCACTATCGAGCTCATTCGGAATCCATGTTGCTTCAAACATTCGAAGAAACCAGAAACACTTTGATGAAATATATACCAGATGCCTATTTTCTCAGTAAAATAATATAAGTAGAATATTAGCCGTTTTTTAAAACAGAATATCTGCACAGCATGCAATTGAACTTGAAACACTAACTCATAACCAATAGAACATTGGAAGATGATGTCATAGGTTCACCAGTTCAAACCTCAAATGTAGTGCAAGATAAGGACCACCATCATGTCTCATTCTTGATACCAAAGTTTTTCCGAGGTTTTCAATTGAGGCAGAATATTTCAATGCTCTGTAGTTTACATAGCATCTTAACTTCTGGATAGACTCGGGAAGTCCATTGTTGGCGAGCCGGGAATCAGTATGAGTGAAATACATCACTTTATGCTGCTTCAAAAGTGGAAGCACCTCTGCTTTATAGTAACCAACCTGAATCAAGGACAGCATGTGTTCACGCTAGCAGGAATATGAGGGTACTGATGCAAATTATTAAAATACACCTTTTTTTCAAGTGCAGAGAACCCTCCATCGAATCGGAGTGCCAAGATGCCAAAACCATATTAATTGAAAACGGATATACAATCTCAAAATTTACAAGAAGGATAGCTGAGTAATTCTCGAGCTGAATTTCCAGGATCATGACAAACATTTATATAGCCAAAAAGACAATGTATTATTGAACATGAGGATATTTTTAGCTGTTTGGCTTCCAGTTGGTATTTTAATTAGAAAAAATGCACATGTTTTTTCATTTATTTGTTATATCTTATTAAACAAATTTTTACTTCTTACTGGATTATCTTTTTTAGATTTTAGTCAACATACCTCATCTGCTATTTCTATAGCAGGATCTACAGAAAACATCGACACATTGTACTGCATGCGTAATAATGGTTAAAAAGAAGCATACCTTGGACCAAGATATTGGTGTTTTCGGGAAAGGTTCAATTCCAGCAAATTCAGGCGGTAATTCGTCAATTACGTTAACATCACCTTGTAGCGACTCAATGAAGTATCGCCAATCAAACAGATCTTTGAAACCACTGGATACACCATGAAACAGAATTTTCAGAATTTTGAAGTTATGAAGCCATATAAGATATCTCATAGCTTTAACTGTTTAATATGTGTCACAGTTTGCACATTACAGAATACGCAGTGCCCAATTAAGTATTATTTTCGCAAGAGTCTTCAATGTTGTGATTATAACATGACAAGCAGACAGCAATACTTTGTCCAATATCTTCAACATATAGAAGTAGAACGTAAATTAAATCGTTTGATGACCTAAGCAGAAGATTACCTCTCATCAGCCCAGTAAGAAGTGTGATCAAGAGAGGGAAGGACAAGTGTGGCCTTCATAATTTTAGCAACAGCGACCATATCACAGATCTGCACTCTAAGATTATATGTTCATCAGATTACGCTTTATAGGGATATTGCATACAAAGAAATTAAATCATCGAAGTCAATGACAACCAGACCCCAAATCTCATTTGGTTTAAGCCACCATTTGCATTTGTCAGAAGGTAACCATTCGTTTTCAAGTCCAGCTCTGACAAAACAATTAATAGCAAAATAGTGAGAGAAAGAACATGAAAGCACATAACAAAATTCAATGACCATGGACAGAGATCTCACTTTTGTGACTTTTTGGTCGATCAAGGCACTGAGTGAAATTCTCACTGTTTGGATTGGACCATATCTCTGGAAGCTGCAAAAAGGAAAAAGAAGATTCAGAAATAGTATCAGAGTAAACATTGTATTTTCAATGTTAACTCCTAACATACAATAAGGTACAATAATTAACACTAAACATTTACATGAGGCACCCTGGCATGAGCATCAACTACATCTGACTCTGAGGCCACCATTGTTAATGTTTGTTCCACCTCAATTTCTCTCCTGCCATCACTATTTCCAGTTTCCATGTACGTGACGTGATGAGAGCTTTGATCCTGCTCATGGAGATGACTTGCAGTGGAATCATACATGTCCTAGTTGAGTCAAAGAAAAGGAGAATGGGAAATAAGTTTGGGCTACATGATTATGCTTATACATGGGAGAGAATAGATATCAATTAGAAATCACAACTAACCCTTATAGTTAACTTGGGAACAAAGTGAAATTTAGCAACGTGGACTGAGTTTCTTCCAACAATATCCACGAAATATTATCTACTTACTAGCTAGTAAAAAGAAGCCTTGATTAGCGGTACATATTCAGTTAACAGTTTCAAAAATCTTTTTCTCAAAGTTAACATTTTACCTGGAAAGCACAAACCAATTATATCATTTCATAATATATATCACAAGAAAAGAATAGCAGTTCTTCTCTAGCGTACGTGATTACCAGCATGAGAAAGGGTGATACCAAATTGGGGCAAGAAGACAGGAAAGGCATCTCCATGAAGAAATAATAGAACAATTGGCAATATCTAAAGTTCTTTCCCCTCACCCATTCATGGGTCCACACCATTTCTGTAAATGGTTCTGAAACCGCAAACAATATCATTCCCATATAGTATATCTTCCTCGGGCAGCCTAACAATCCCGTTACAAATTAGTAGTGAAACTTGCAAAGGGTGATGAGCCGATCTGCCCGGTGAAGCTACTATTTACGAATAATTGCAAATGTAGATGCCAACTGTTTTCGTATTACTTGTGATCCTAACTGAGCTTTTACACTTTCCTTTTATACAGCTTCATCAATCATACTGATGCCCAAAACAACAAAATATAGTGTATAAAAACTACAAGCCCCATAAAGTGACCACACCGAAAATTCTATCTATTTCAAGAAAATGATATAGCAAACTATCTGCCACTTCAGATTCTGCTATACGATTATCTTCTAATGCCAATCAGCACCAAATCAAAGAAAATACTATTTGCCAGTTGCCACCAATCATTGCAATCAAATGAAGGAAAAAGAAAAGAGAGATAAAAAAAAAAGGCAATAAACAAGTACAAACTAACTCTAAATTTCATAGAGATCATCACCTGTTTGCTTCCAAGTCTATCAATGGCAGATCCGAACCAACCAGTCGCGCAAATCTTGAAAACACCCATAAACAAACACACACCACAGAACATGAAAAACATCCACTGCCCCAGTTTCCTTTTCCCTTTCAACTCCAACCCAAAGTCTCCCAACTCCACACTCAGCGACGCGATCTTTTTCCTCAAGTGCACCCTCTGGGCCAGGCTGCTGACGTGGGCCGGCCTCAAAGACTCCGACCCATCCCCGGAAACCGGGGCCTCAGATCTGGGCGACGTGATATGAAGGTCAATGACCTCATGGCCATGGCCGCCGATGTTGCTGCTGCTGCTATTGTGCGCAGCGCTCTGTGAGGCGTTGCTGCTGTGGTTGCTGTTGCTGTTATTGTTCCGCTTGAAGGATTGTGCTCGGCGGGTCATCGGGCCGGAGAATCTCGGGCTGCTGACGCGCTGGGACAGGCCGCCGCCTCCATCGGTGGCCGTGGGGTGGTTGTGGTGGTGGAGGTGGCTGTTATGGTGGTGACCCATTTTCTTTATTATACGCCAAACATCACAGAAAATATATTGAAAAATCAGACCAAAACTTTCCTTCTTCCGTGCGTGTGTTCGGATTGTCGGTGCGAGAATTTTAGGTGATTATTATTGCAGAAATTAGGCGCTGTCTGTATTTTTAGAATTGGAGATAGAGAGGTATATGAGATTGACCAAAGATGTATCTACGAATAAAATAGAATATAATATATAGAAAAATATAACAAAAAACAAATAAATA